TGTTTCTCATTAATTATTACGTTTTTACGCTACAATTTTCTTACTTCTGTACCTCTTCTGAGCCTCTTCAGTCTGAGGTCGCGACCCGTTGAGAAATGCCATTAAAGTGTGAATCAAACCGAATTGGGCCGCGAGGCGAGTGGCTGACCGACGTTAAGAGGTATAAGTAACGTTTGCTCAATCCGTTATTATTCAGACGAAATCGTCTTCCGACTTCTCGTCACGACTCAAATCGACCGGTTCTTCATGCGGATCCAATCGACCGGGTCGTCGTTCGATTCGCCATAAGCTTTGCCTCACGCAACACGCATAACGCACCGTGTTATTCGCAGAAGCCAAATTACACCATGCCTCGACAATGTGTCTATTGCGAACAGTATGCCACGATCGACCCTGACAATGACGGTTACTGACCCCACGAACCGGTTGCGCCTCTCATCGCGCGACGTTTGAAGTCACACGCACCGATTGAAACCCGTTTGCCTTTCCGAGCCTGCTTCATCATAACGTCACCACTCGTCATCGTAAATGCATCCTGACTAACGATACCTGCAAGATTGTTCTATTGTGTTCGATCGCACACGCTAATTTCAATATCCTACCTCGGATTATATCGTCGCGATAATTTTCATATCGATCAAGTTCTGCCAATCGCGTGAAGAGTTAACTTGTACACGAATCAAGTCGTTTAATACAATGGGGACGAATTTCTCCGACGGTTTTTCCGAAGAGACGTAGTGCTCTTTGAGATTCTTGAAAGAATTTCTAACTTGAAAAACATATCTATCTCTATCATTACGCGCGATGACTAGACAGTACGATGTTTTGTAACCGCGGTATATTTTGCAGCGTGCTATTTTTTGTCGACGTAAGCTACGTAGAGAGAGAGAGAGAGAGAGAGAGAGAGAGAGAAACGTCAAGAGCGTTGTGAGGGATGCCGTGCCATAAGGCGAGTGTTGTTCGGCTTGCGATTCGTAAAATTTACAAAGGCAAACGTGTTGCCTTAACCGAGCATCCCGCAACACGCGGTCATTTGCAATTTACAATCTACAGAAATTGCATAAATCGCCTTGCGATATTGGCTACGCCATCTGCTGCCCGCCGTTTTTCGTCCTATTTCCCCATGACAGCGAGTTTCATCGTTCGTATCGTATCACCCAGGGAGATGCAATAATGCAGTCGGTAGTTGAAGAGCTGACAAATTTCGTCATCGCTGCATCTCCGTGCCGATCGAGCGATACCCCTGCTAAAGTATGCGCGCGCATTTCGAGAGAAGCGACTAACAAATCGCAAAAAAAAAGATCACGTTTCATGTCTGCACATGGTTATCTCGCGGCGATCCTCATTAATCTTCGAAAGCTAAATTTGTCATTAATGAGAATTTTACATTTCACGGTAATTAATATTTTTTTATCTTAAACTCTCGCGAAGATACTCGCGGTAACTGGCATTTTAAATCTTTTTCTATGAACAAAGCGTTTAACTATTGTTTTTGTAATTTACTTGTGTAAAATTTGCGTTTCCATTTTGGCCTCTATTAGGCGATCCCGTTTCTTTCAATGAAAATGTCTCGTTTGCTTTCAGTTAATTTTCAGTTGACTAACTTATTTAATATTACGAGATGTTTTCGACGAAGTAACAGATTGTACTACGTTGTAGAAATATCACGTAAATTGCGTTTGACGCCTCGCCGTCTCTCTCTCTCTCCTCTCTCTCACCTTTGAATAGGCTTTTCTTTGCTTGACTGATTCGTCAGTTATCCCTATTATTCATAGGTAAAGCTCAATTACGCACGCCAATTAACTACACATACGGTAATGCATGAAAGAGAAACGAAGGTGTATGTACGTCTGTTTCTACTTTCCCGCAACGAAAATGGTCATGGGTTGCGTGCCTCTGGCGGAATCGGTACCAGCTGCAAAAGGTCGGGCTGCAAGTCAGATCTGTTAACAGGTGATCCGTCACTATCACGGGTACTGATGGTCTACTTTTCGAGCAAGAAAAGTCCGCGTGCCACCCAAGGTTGGCTTGCGCAACGGACCGGTAATCTTCAGGGCGCTGTGCGCGGCGCCTTCCCATTAATTTCTACATTTTTCACACGACCATCGCCTTGCAGTTGCACCAAATAAGCGCAAGCGAGATACCGTCCGCGGATATACATATATATATTCCGCGGGATCTGACGTGGCACGCTGACGAAACTGAAACCAGGTTTCGTCGTCGTAGATTCATCCATTATATATTCATGAAAAGTGACTCGTACTAATGTATTACGTTATACATTTTCAATTTGCATCGCGCTTTTATTTTGTAGCTCTTTGACTATTTCTTGACGCCGTGGAAAGCAGAAGATTTATCTTCTATCTTACACGGCTCGCTTCGCACGCGTTTCTATTATCAAAATATCTCCCTGTTATCTTATCGGACAAAAATAAGTGACGTTTTACGGAAGGAGTATAGTTGTGTTATTTACTATTAATAATTATAACGATCTTGATATTAACAATTATCAAATCTTGTTTCCTAATTGAACAAAGTGACAAAATAAAATTTTAGCGGAATCGATTTTGAGTTTTCCATCCAATATCTTCGTCCCGAATTATAATTAAAGAGAACATTTTTTTTTAGTATAATAAAATAACTATCGTAGAATTTAATTCGTTTAATTGAAATAAAAATCTGCGACGTACGTTGTAGACGTGAGATATCTTTTTGTACTTTCTATTTCTCGTTATCAAATCGCATACACAAAACGATTCACGTATGGAATATGCGGTGCATTTGCGATGCGGCAACGCGCAACACAAATTACGTCCCTAATTTGCGCGCATTGTTAATTAGCCATTGACCTTTGTTATCTTGCCCGAAGCTAGCCGTTTTCCAGACCAAAGTTTAATTAGCTCCGCGTATAACTCCTTTCATTACAAACTGCAGCGGCGGCGGGCGCCTGATTATTCACGCGATAGCACTAACCGGCTGGAATTGCCTCTTCTGCTATCGCAGGTACATCCCGATCCCGATGCATATCCCTCGGTTTACGCGCGTCTATCTCCATTGCACCTGATACCCCGCGCAGTGTATGATTAAGTGTCATTTTTCCTCGTCTCTCTCTCTCCTTCCCTCGGTGGGAAGCCCCCCCCGGCGCGTCGCTGAAACAATCCGACGGGAGCGATGTGAATAGCAGGATGAGGCATCTCGTACGACCCAGTTAGCTATGTCAGACAAGTTTAAGACGCGTGAACGAAAGACCGCAGCGTTGTCTCTCGCAACCCGTTTATCTAACGTAACGTCACTGCCATGGGAATCCGCAAAATCATTTGCCCGTCGAATGACTCGGCTCCGAGCGAACGGCTCGCGTCTCGCAGAAGACAAGAGACGGCGCGTTGCGATATTATGAAATACACGCAACTATAAATCGCGAAACGATGATCGCACGTAGTCCGCGCGTATACGAATTTATGTAATCTCCCCCGACGCGAACAATTTGAAATGACTAATTATAGTAATGAGGGGAAAGGGAAAGGCAATATGTAGTAACGCGCGTGTGTGTTATTCGTCTCGCGCGGGGTTTCGGTAACCCGCGGGACCTGTAGTGAATAGAGACAACATAATTCTTGCAAAGGTGTTTCCTTTATTTCGCGCATAAAATATACATAATGGCATCCCACGTAGGAGTCTCAAACCATTGTTATAAAAATATAGGTATATGTATATATAATTATGTCATGCGTTGCTTAACTATATATGACAATGATACGCTCTTCGGAAGAAATCGGATTACTTCGTTATTTCTTGGATCGTGTGATAATTACGTACTAATTTATTAATACAATAAACCGTGCTATTTTTGTTTTAATGATACGATTGCTCGAGATGTTCAATTACGGCATTCCTGTAGTACACTTCTGTTGCTTCGTTTATAAATTATTTGCTATTACAATCCTATAGATATAGACCTCCAGCTCGAATTATACTAACAAAATGCATCGTATAAATCGTCATATTCTATACATTTTATTAATTATCAATTATTTTGCGTTTGATGGATATTACAATTAATTGTGTTAAAAGTGTTATAACATATGACACTTTGTAAGGCATAGCTGCCTTAAAGTATAAAATCATGCGCTTTATTATGTTTTTATACGTCTGATTACAATTAGATAGTAATATGAATTTTCACTTCTAAACGAAATCTAAGTGCCGATGACATCCGCATGACGTCCAATTCATTGTTTCCTGACAGTAAGATAATAAGTGATAACGGCCATATTTTTATTAAAACTGAATAAATAAATATGTCGCGTTTTAATACTTACAAGTTGTATGTATATCATCAACGTCCTTTTGCTTTCGACAGAAATTAATCGATTGCAATAATAATTTTAATTTTAATAATTATTATAAAATTAATAATATTTGAAAAAGGTAAGTTGAAAATAATTATCTTTTATGTGAATATATAAAATAAAAATTAAAGGTATTTAATCTAGTTAATAATATTTGATTGGACGATGATGAATACATTCGGCGTACATGCTTAATATTATTACTTGTAATTTCATCATAAGATTTCCGTTAAATCTTTTTTCAATGCAATTTATCATGCATTAAAATTCATATTATTTGTTGAAATTAATTGTAATCTATTATTATATTTTTAATATAATAACAACTGACAAATAAATGAGAAAGGAAAAATATACTGTAATTAAATATTTTAAGTTTCATGAAATATTATTTCATCATCTTTTTACATCGTTGAATAAAATGGAGCAGTTAATAGGAAACTTTCATAATTTAATTAATAGAATATTACACATATCTTATTAGTAAAATACAAATATTTTATATTATATTAATATATAGATAACATTAGAATATATTTTATATTACATTCTTTATATATAATGTAAACGTTAATACATGAATTTTATTTTATACATAAATATGTTTTACTAACAAAACTTCAAAGAAAGAAAAAAGTACATAAGCGATTATATAAATTTTTAATTGCATGAATGGAAATCTTAAGATGATTTAACGGTTAAGCAGAACAATCAAATTTCCTATATGGTATATAAAAGTGAAATGCAATACGAATAATCAATATCACTTAGATTACGCAAGTATAAGGGCTTGTATTTACACGTGTCATCCAGCATTAACAACAGTGGGAGTCGCCGTTAGATGCTGACTGAAAGTTTCGTTTCACGTTTATCCAGCCCGCGGCGGCAAATACTCACGATCTGGTTTCGCAGGACCTTGCGACGGGAACGGTGAACCTGTATCTGGTTTCCCAGGAATACCTCCTGGCCCAGAAGGCCCACTTGGAAATGATGGGCCGCTTGGTCTACCGCTAGGATATCCACCTGGACCACTGGGTCCTTGTGGACGACTACCCGGTGCACTCGGAAAGCCGCTTGGTCCCTGCGGTCCAGTGGGTCCTTGAGATTGTCCTGGATATCCTGGTGACGGCCCACCTGGCCCCGGGTATCCGCTTGGACCACTTGGTCCTTGAGGTCCAGTAGGACCGGAAGGTCCTTGAGGTCTTCCAGAATATCCTGGTCCGCCTGGTCTTTGAGGTCCTTGAGGTCCTGATGGTCCTGACGGCGGAGTTAAATATCCGGGTCCTGGACGACCAGATGGACCACCCGGTCTTCCTGGGAAACCACTTGGACCACTTGGGCCACTTGGACCCGTTGGTCCTTGTGGTCCACTCGGTCCTGATGGACCTTGAGGACCTGCCGGATAACCGCTTGGTCCTGACGGACCTTGAGGTCCACCTGGATAACTGCTTGGTCCTGATGGACCTTGAGGTCCACTTGGATAACCGCTTGGACCTTGAGGTTTTCTTGGATAACCAGGACCACTAGGTCCTAATGGTCCTTGAGGTCCGCCTGGATAACCACTAGGTCCTGATGGACCTTGAGGTCCTCCTGGATAACCAGGACCACCAGGACGTTGCGGACCTCCTGGATAACCACTCGGGCCACTTGGACCACCAGGACCTCCCGGACCGCCTGGACCAGCTGGACCGCCTGGACCGCCTGGACCACCTGGACTGATTGAACCACCTGGACCGCCTGGACCGCCTGGACCTCCCGGACCGCCTGGACCACCTGGAACGCCTGGACCTCCTGGATATGTACCAGGTCCAGAAGGTCCTCGACTTGGTGCTCCCATTATAGTATAATCGTAAATATTTTCATTTAAATAATAAAGACTTGGCGCGGAGTTGCAATCGAATTGATTCCACCAAACACAAACGAAGAATTGTTGATGGAAAATCGTTCCATTCGGACAAAGAAAATCATAAGTTTTATTGTTGGCACATATGTGAAAAACTTGGCACTGGGCTTCGACGTCAGCATAGTAACCTGGGAATTGTTGGGCGTCGCAGCGGAAGCCGGTTTCCGGAATTTCACTATATATAGGATAATCGCGACCAGGTTCGCCTGGAATAGCTGAATAATCACCTTCGTCATACGTTCCTTCATCTTCATGCGTGTATGTTCCGGGTCCACCAGATCCTACTGGATGACCAGCACCTGGGAATCCTCCTGGACCTTGTGGGCCCGGTCCACCTGGGAATCCTCCTGGTCCTTGTGGGCCTGGTCTACCCGGGAATCCTCCTGGTCCTTGTGGACTCGGCCCACCTGGGAATCCTCCTGGTCCTTGTGGCCTGGTCCACCCGGAAATCCTCCCGGTCCTTGCGGGCCAGGCCCAGCTGGAAACTCCTCCCGGTCCTTGTGGACCTGGTCCACCTGGGAATCTTCCTGGCCCTTGTGTTTCCGGTCTACTTGGAACCCCTCCTGGTCCTTGCGGGCCTGGACCACTGGGATAACCTCCTGGTCCTTGACCTCCAGGTCCAGGATAACCGCCGGGAGATGTTGCACCTGGGCCTTGCTGACCTCCAGGACCTTGAGGACCACTCGGCCTTCCTGGATAGCCACCTGGTCCTTGAGGACCTGGACCACCACCAGGTCTTTGAGCAACTTCAGGATAACCAGTTCCTGGCCGTCCGCTAGGATATCCACTTCCCGGACCGCTAGGTTTTTGTGCTTCACCGGGATAACGTCCGCTTGGTCCACTCGGCCGACCACTGGGATATCCAGGACCTTCTGGTTTTCCTTGACCAGGTCCGCTTGGATATCCAGAAGGTCCTTGCCCTGGAAATCCTGGCCCGCTAGGTCTACCACTAGGATATCCTCCATTTGGTCCTGTCGGTCGCCCACCGGATCCGCTCGGGCCACCTGGACCACCGGGACTTGGTCCTGTACTAGGTCTTCCTGTGGGTTCACCGCTTGGAAAAGGAATTGAAGGTCGGCCACTAGGGTATCCACCGGAAGGTGCTTGACCTGATGGGAAACCAGGTTGTTGTCCTGGTTGACCCTCACCTGGGCGTCCTGGAAATCCTGAAGGTCCAGATGGATAACCACTTGGTCTTTCAGGTTGTCCACTAGGAGGTCTTGGTTCAGGACCTCCCGGGGCACCACCTGGACCACCAAATGGATATCCTCCTCCAGGAGTACCCGGAAATCTTCCTGGTTTTACACCAGGACCTCCTCCTGGACCACCTGGTATAAGCTGATTTGTTGGTCTAGGATAATTATATCCCTCGTCAGTCTGTGCCTGAAATTATAGTATCATAATTATAGTATTATATTTACTGGATTATATATATAACATTTTATATATAAATTTATTGAACATACTATATAATAAATGTCGTCTAAATTATTATAAACTTGATAAAAAATACAGTTCTCTCTTCTAAAAAAATTTGAAAAAATATATGAAATGAATTTTTTTTATTAACTAACTTTTAAAACATAATAGAATAAATGTACAGTCTAATATAATATAATTTTGTTTTAATACAAAATTAATTTTATTATCGAAATTTAAGGCTGAAGTTAAATAACGTTTCAATTAATAGCGATATATAGTAATATATAAATAATATTCATTCATTCAACATACAATCCAGTTTAAATAGATTTTACTACTAGAATACTATCGCTACTCGTTGAGAATACCCTTGAACGATGAATTATATCAGATTTATAAATTCCGACATCATTAGAATCGTGCTTGTAGAAAAGTCTGAAGGAGCGTCTTCGTATGCTCGATCATTGTGATCGTTGTAACGTTACAACAGAATAGTCACGACCGATTAATATGAGAGTGCTTAAACTTGCGCAACGAAAAATGCTGTTTCATAAGATGGGAAAGAAGAAGCAAAGATGTGTTGATCGCGAAAAATTGAAATAACTACATCACGTTGATTTATTCTTTAGTTTTTAATATACCAGTTTTCTGATAGAGATTAAAAAAAGTGAAATTACAGTTTAAATTTACAAATTAAATAAATTAAGTGTAAAAGATTATAAAGTTAAAGAAACATTTTTATCTTGAGTTTTTTTTATAAATAACATGATTTGAGACGCTTGAGAGAGTAAATTACTTACCAAAACTGTACGAGCGACAGCCAGCAGAACTGAAATACAGATACAAATGGGATATTATTTTTGATCACGTACCTTGACAAATTGCGCGATCTTTATTTAACGCAGTTATTACAACAGAGTTTGTTACACATTTATCGTAAAAAGAATTTTTGTTATGACATCAATTATCTCAAGTGTTAACGGCTCCGCGCCGCCTCCAGTAACCGCCGCAATTCGTCGCGATGATGAGAGGTTGCGTGCGAATCTCACAGAAGAGAAATGTGTCTTGAAAATCTCTGACATAACTTCCCGTCTAATTAATTAAAGGAGCATTGTCGAGCGCGCTTAGAGCGTAGGCACGGAGAAGCTAGCGGGGTTCTTCGCACGCTTGGCCGTACGTAAATCGCATGAAAAAGAAAAATGAAGAGGGATAAACGTAGAAGAAAGGACCGTGCTTGCAGGAGAGAGAGAGAGAGGAGCGAGCAATACGAACGAGCTGCAGGAGTGCGTGTGGTATGTTACACGAGAATTGTAGAGACTCCCGTGCGCGTTTTCGCAATGACACCGTCATGCCGGGCCCCGCAGATCACGCAAGCTGTTTGTTAAGCAGATACAGAACTCTGATTCTTAGACATGCGAGGAAATCCAGATGGTGATCTCCCTCAAGTTCTATAGATATTCTCGAATGAAAGTCATATTTATTTCGATACATCGAGAACTCATCTGATATCGGAAACAAAAATTATTTTTTGCTTTTTAATTATTTTAATTATTTTTTCCGGTAAATTATACGTTTTGCCTATGAGTCATAAGTCAAGATAGATTTTATTAGAATATCACTTAATTTCTTTCGCAATATAGTGGTACTCTAATGGTATATAGTTATTGAAAATCGAAACTTCGGTGAATGCTGCTATGTGCAGGTAGCAAAATGAATTATGAAAATCTTGATTAGCTTTTCCTGTTAATGCAATGAATATATCGTTCTTGATGAATAAGTATAATTATCGAACAATTCGAATGTCGATATCTTCACACGGTGACATTGATAAATTAAGATTTAATAGTATCTTTATTTCGACGTAAATTAATGGGTGTAACTTGGCAAATACGATCGATATGACCCATCGCTCGAATAAGACCCTTGTCACGGTAAGTCATGGATCTAGAAAATTTACTTTTTATATCGTACCGAATATAAATTTTATTTTATCTTTCAATAATTTAACAATCAAGATATATTGAATTTTGAATTAATTTCATATTTTTATCATTTAAATTAACTTGTGCACAAAATGAAATTAACTTTGTACCGATAGAAATAATTGCCAATTGTAATAAAAGAATAATTCAATATCTAAGAATAATTCATAAATCTTATATTAAATTCCCACGACATCGCTAATAAAATTTTATTTTAAGATTTACTGTGCATAGAAATATAAACGGCAAATTTTACGGCGGCGCTTTCTCTCCACTGATTTCAATGGGCTATATTGGTGATTTATTAGACACGATTATAGAAGTACGAGAAACTGTTTGAATACGATCGTCACGAGCGGTAATCTTTTTCCGTATTTAAATGTATTATAAACAATTTTTAGAGGATCTCTCTTTCCGTCGGTCTTTATACGTCGCTTGTTTCCACACCACGCATAATTTGGCCAAAAGGCTATTTCAGTCAACAATATCGCATTACCATTATTCGTACATCTTCCTGTTGCCGGTTGATAGCCTCGGTTTTGGTTACCTCGAAACAATAGGGCCGAGATCAAGATGCGGCTGAGCCTCGCGTGATCTACGAAGATAATCCGAGCACGGTACTCGATGCATCGTTCGAGAGGATCTTTGACCGTTACGTGGTTACACTAGCGTTGCACGATCGCGTCAGAGTATTGACGTAACTTGCCCGAAGGGAAGCCGTAGCGGAAACGGCTTAAATCCTTCTTCGATCACCTCTTCGCGGATCACAAGCATTTCTTATCATATGATATTATTGGCATTTATATCTCATTCCAATAAAAAAAAAAAAAAATAAAAATCACGTTTGCTTTGTTGTTGATTATTAAGCAGTTTTGACAGCACAGTTAAAGCTTCTATTTTTAATTATATAATCTTCGTTTGGTTGTTATAATTGTGTTATAACAAAATTATCCATAATTTAAAGTTTAGAAAAGTTTAACTTATTTCCGAATTATTCTCTCATCTTTCCTTTGACGTTTCCCAAGCGTTTGCCTTTTTCATTGATTTATGATCAATTTAATGTGTTTGTTTTTAACATCCGTAAGAAAAAGCAAAGCGATAGAAGTTGCGTTAACACGGTACGCTGCATACACTTGACCTTTATTTTAAGTGAAGATGATCGTAAGCGTAAAGGGTGACCCCGTAAAAGTGCGCTGGAACAATACCAGCCCACGGTGCGCTGGCTTATCTCTAATTCGTTTTAATTAGAGGATGTTACGAAAAAATATAGTAGACCTTGCGTGAAGGTTTCATCGAAATTTAAGACTCGTTTGGGTTGTAATATCGTAACCGAGTTATACTCATTATGAAAGTTTTAATTCCATTAAGAATTATTCGTCGCAATAATCGTTTCAACAAATAAAATTTACTTATATTTAATATTAATTTTCTTTCATTTGTATTGTTTATCGAGGTGAGTTAAATTATAATAATTACGATTTGCATATTTGTATGTAAAAAGTCTGAAATGTATAAAGAAACTTTAACGAAAGCTAAATGTTACTTTAAATTTAGTGAAATAACAAAGATCGTAGAAGAAAATACACAGACTCTTGTTATTATTATCCGAAAAATATGTAAAATTATCTATAAAAAAATGTATTTGTTAAAAAAAAATGTTCATTATCTTTGCAACTGCGCTCAAGAAGCTTTCTTTTCTTTTTTTTTTTTTTTAAATATTTTTCTGCAGTGGTTTGCAGTCGTCACATGGATAAGCACATGGAATTGTCAAAGGATGCCATACCGATTGCGTGGCGCGTAATGGCACGTACCAGAACTTATACGGCACGATAATTCGATGAACGGAAGGTAAAGTTGGCATAAGATTGCTTAACAATTGCTTGGAGACTTTTCATCTCCTTCGATTATCGAGACGAAGGTTATACTTGACGCTAAGACACGTCACAAATTGCGAACTTTCTTTTCTCTGTCCGCGACACTGCAATCTCTGCTAATCTTTCTGTTTTCTCCAGAGGAAAACCGACGGATATTGCCGCGTTGATTTTTCTCGCGTTGGTTTTTGTTAGCTCTTCCCATGTGCTTATTTGATTGCACGTTAACGTAACCCGATTACTACATTAGATGATTACACGAGAATGAAGTCACGCGGTGATCACAATATCTTGAATCAATGTCACTTTAGTCTTACCGATCCAGAGTAAGCGTAGCCGCATGTTTGCTGGCGCAAGCACCCTCAACGAGCGGGCGAATCTGAAAAAAATAACGCAATTATCGATCGATCTCACAATTAGTCCAATTAGTACATAAAAATGTCTGACAAAATGAAAACATTGGAACATCAAATTTGCAATAATTTACAAGAACTTAATTATATTCCGTCTACAAGTACATTTTATTTAAAATATATTTTATTATCTATTGCTAAAGATATAATTTACTTTGCTAAAACGTAAAGATAATATTTCTGCTAGAAATACCTTTGAATTATAAAGTCTTTTTTTGCAAATTCTTATTATGTAATGTGTGTATGACATTAATAAAAAATAATAAAATGAAATTTAATATGATACATTTATATTGTCATTTGTATAGTATCGATTGATTTTGAGATAAACAGATACTAAGCAAATAAATAACAAAAATCTGAGAAATTAATTAAAAAAATTAATTAGTATTGCTTTGTAAAATGTAAAAGTTGTGATAAACTTTGAAATCTTAAATATGCATAAACAATGCATTTATGCATATAACAATGGTAAAAAGAAAGAATTTTGATGTTCTCTGTTTTTCGCGCTATAAATTTACACGAGCTTTCGAATATCGACTTGGTCCTATGGTCGAGCACGTGTGCATGTCCTATTATTGTAACTTACGTTGCCCATTTCTATACACGAGGAGTTAATAATGTATTAAACATATTTACAAGAAAATGGAACCTCCAAGGTACGCTCGAATGGAAATCACTGACCGTGTTGCTTTAATACACTGCGTTTGTTCCTTGTTCGATCTCCGAGCATTGCGCACGGAAGTTTGGGACCTTCGTGCGGGTCATTCGTGCGTGTTATCGGTGCCACGTTGGGATACGCGCGCACAGATGCATTAGAGAGGAAAATTGTGATATCGAAGTCAGTCAGTTTTTTTCTCGGGGACGTACACTCGGGGTCGGGGAACGAAAAAGGATTTTGTCCGATTTTTGTGACATACAGGCGCGCGAGAACTCGCAGAGTCGAGCAGCGGGCAAAAGCGCGATCGTGGATGCCATTAGGGGGATGAAGTGATGTCGTGGACTCACCCAACCGATCCGTACGTACAAAACACACCGCAGTGCTGAGGTAAGTCAAGACAGTGACTGATGGTGGAAGTAACTTCATCGGCATATATATCCTTGGGTAGCACCCCGTGTGCACCGATACGCCCCCACCAGGGATGAGCTCCGGCGTTTCATCCTTCGACCTCCTCCAGATCGAGCCCCCTTTTTTCCCTCTATTCCTCGGGATGCAAGGTGGGGAAATATGCGAAACCGCGGATGGCGATGGGATGGATCCTTTCGCGCGGGGCGTCTGTACTTCTAAAAATCATAGGAGGATGTTACTTTCCTCTATTGACCTCTTTTCCATCAAATTTTAAGAGATATATATATCTTATGTTGCAATTATGTAACATACTTTAGATAGGTAATCTCTCTGTGCTAATATTAATTTTAAAAAATAATAGAAATCTATGATATAATTTTGTGTATCACAGTGTAGACAATCAGAAATACACACTTTGATACACACATTTTAATTTTTACTTTTTTTTATATTATACAGATAGAATATTTTTTTGTATTGAATATTCAATATGAGATATATATATTTTATATCATATAACTTTTATTGATATAACTTTGTGAAATGTATTCCATATATAGAATATGAATCCATATATAGAATATGTATTCCGTATATAGAATATGTATAAATGTCTAAAAGTAAGAATGTCGGATGGAGAGAAGAAGAACCTGGACCTCTTCGACCCCCGATGATTACCTAAAGTAAATATCGACAGGTTGAATCCGAAATAGCGCGAATGGACCTATCGCGGGCCCATCACAATCCATAAGCGGTGCGCTATCCGTGGAACGACCTCACGACGTAAGTGACCCGCTGCGGGTTCCGAAGGGGGCCTCTTCCAGAGGGGGGGATCCTGACGGGGGATCTCGCGGAGATGAGCAGCTCGTGGGAGGCCGGGGTTAGTGAAAGTGAAATACTGCAAGTAGAGTAACGTGTACCGAAGTGCTGTGTATTTCGCGTTGCTCTAGTCGACGGTGAGGATCTCCCGAGAGGAGAAAGATCGGGAGGATGTCTCTGCATTTCGATCTACGATGTGTCTTTGGATAGAAAAGACACATGCCGATTATCACGATTATTTTCTTATCAAAGTACAAGCAAAATTTATGTCACCTTTTATTGATTATTACTGTAAATATAATTTAATAAGCGAAACAAAAACAAGAAGAAATTATTGATGAAAATGATTGATTATTAGAGAAATTATATTATAATCTGGTAATTAATTAATTCTTGAAAAGTTAAAGATAAAATCCATGTTATTTTACTGATTACAAACGTATGAAAAACGTATGATAAATGTATATATATATATATATATTCTTTCCTCAAATATTCTGAAATGTTTATTATTATATATAAGATATATATATATATATATATATATATATATATTACATCAACAAATCTTAATTTAAGCAAGTTTTAATTAATTTTATTAATATATGTACATAAAATTCTCTTTTATGTAATCTTAAATATATAAATTTATTCTTTTTTAATCTTATCACTTTGTATGTAATTTGTAAACTTATTGTAACTTGTAAAGCTATGATTGTTTTTACTTTTGAAATCTTTACCAATGTAAGATCAAAGAGAAGTGATTTCTAATAAATAATGCATGCTATTGGAAAAGCTGTAGAGAATAATACCCTTTGGTGCATAACAGAGTACACAAACGCTTTGGCAATGTAAAGTCTTTTTGCTTTGTTTCCAATCGAGATGTCGAGATTATCCGGAATGATTAGAAGGGCAGTAGAATAGATCGTATTGATTTTATCATACTTTGATAGAGGAGGCTAACCGAATTTAATGACAAGAGCACTCCGCTTACTCTGTGTATGATATGTCAAGCATTCCTGTCGTATGATGGAGAAGGGAAATTTAAATAAGTCAATTTTTAATTTTTCAAAGATTTCTATTTATAATATAAATTAAATAATTAATAATTATAACTGACACTTTTCTCTCAATTTTTTCGGAAAAGCCATTTTTCTTTATTAATTCTTATTCTTATTTAACAAATTGTTTTTTGAACGGTAACTTTCGAATTATCTTGATTGAGGATCGATTTGATCGATTATTTCTTTGACAAATCAAATTTTCAAACGATTTAGTTACGACACAATTTTACGTATAAAAATCACTACAATGACACAGCGCTTCATTGCTGTCAAAGAACGAGCTCCGTTCGTCTTTGGCTGCGTTCTTCGCTCGTCCCGTTTCGGATTCGTAATCGGCCTGCGTCATCGCGTCATAATCATCATCGGACGTACGTAGTGACACGACGTGTCTTCGCACGTCCTCCTCCACGGTGCTTTCACCGCAAAGTGCGAGTTACTGCATCGCGTGGGCGGCATAAAGGCAGTCGGCGCGTAACTCATGCCGATGGGACAAAAGCGGGTGCCAATATCGACTTCTCGCTTCGCATGCACATTGCGATACTGCGTAATTTCTATGCACGATTTCTTCTCAATCTCCTCATATAAGCCCTCGCCCCCCCCCCCCTCCTCCCCGTATTCGCGATCGTGCACACGCGTTGGCGCAAACTCGCAATCGACGAGGCCCGGGGCAAGGATGGCATCGATACAGCTATTTGCTAAGTTATCGTACGGACGAGATTTCAGTTTGCAAAACCTCGAGGGTACTAGACGTGGGCCCCCAAGGCGAGTATATTCTCCCCGCTCGTTTCTGCCACCCTTCGATTTCTCGATTATACACTACGCGAAAGCCAGTTTACTCGCATTAAACGTTGTACCTCAGTTAGTTTCGCAATTCTATAAATTCTCAGTACATTAAAGATTTATATATAATAAATTTATATCCATAATTATCTACTTAATAATACTTCTTCCGATTATTACGAGATACTGAACGAGATACTGAAAATCTCTTAAGTAGAGCGGCGGTTATTTTTGCTTAAGCTTCAAAAAATATTTTTTTTAAATTTAGCGCAGTTGCATTTATCAAGATAGATTTTAAAATTCTCAAAAAATTTACAGGAAATATTATCTTTATTTTTGTAAGACGATCAGTCTGTAAAGCTTGCGATATACATCAGTGATCCTGAGCGTTCAGTATAGAAAGGCTCCGACTATAATCGTATTAGCGTTTCTTCTGAAATCCATCAACGATTTAATACGATTGCGATAATCGTTTACACATTGCAAAATACCCCGTTTCTCTAGAACTAATCGTTAATGAAGTCTAACGATTGGTTGTATTAGAATTCATCTATTTTATGTGTTTGATGAATACTTCAAGAATTTTTTATAAAACCCATGGTAATTATAGAATAAATATGGAAATAACGTTATGGGAGAAAAAATTGATTACGATTATAATAGCAGTAACCAATGCATTCGTCACTCGCCACTATGACGAATAAGATCTCGCATTGTAATGAGTATATGAATACATGAAAATTAATCATAATATTTTTCATATTATTTCCACGAATGAAATATATATATATATATATATATGACAATATGTTTACAATTTACAGTAACTGAAAGTATACGTATCTAATTTTAAAACTAAAAAGAGAGGAAAATTCCTAAAGTGCCGCATTTAAATAAGAAATCCTCGTTAATGGCGTTAGTTTAAATTTTTATCTTCAATATACATTATTTATTAGCAAAATAATTAATTTAAAATATATATGATATAATTTCTAATGTGTAGCTTAATCTATTTTGAGATATCGTAAATGCGATAGAAGAAATTTATAAGTACAATGAGCGCATTTTCTATACAACATTCTTCCAAGACGACATAATGCTTCCGTGATAATTACATCAAATTTGTTCTCACGAACGCGAGACTTCAATCGCGTTTGCCGTGCCGGCCGCACTTGGTTCCCTCGCAAAACATGCCTGGAATCCACTTATTGTATTATATATAACAATTGTCTCACGATCTGGAGCTCCCAAGTGAGAAGATACGGTTAAGCCATTTTTAAGTCCCATCGATAAATAATTTTAGTTAATAAAAAAAAGGAGGTAATGATCTACATTACAAAATCTCGAAGTGATGTATTGCGACAATCGATCATATTAATCCTTGAAAGAATTGTGATTGCAACATAATCGTGAGAAAAGTCCGACATACTAAATGTATTCAAATATCCGTGTTGTAGTACATTAAACTTCGTCAAAATCAGGGCAAACAAAGCGAGGATGTCTGAATTATCGGCAATCGACGTCTTTTTACAACTTACTCCACTTACTACAATTGCATTACATCAAATCATTCGGAAAGAAAGACATAAGTCGTCCTTGTGCATTCTATTCTTTTTGTAATTTCTTTATGGTGATCGTCACGACGATACTTGACTCGATTATTATGTAAAGAAATAATTAGCCGTGGATCGAACTTTGTCATAACCAAGGAGGAAAATTGAGATAATTGAAGTATATGATAACTGGTATGGTAAACTTATACTTTCGAGAATAATTCTTAAAATACGAAAGATTTAAAGAAATATAAAAAATGAAAATAACATTTTTCTATTTTCTTTTATTTTTTATGCAAAATAAATTCGAGATATTAAAAACATAACACTTGTTTTATATCGTACGGATACATTTTGCAAGCTAATCCTCGTAAATGCGTTAACTAACTCCTTAATTTCCTACTTAATAATACTTCCTACTCTTAAAGATAATTCTTTAATTTCTTCTGCGAATAATATATTAATTATAGACCGAAAAATATAAATTTTTTAAAAATATAAATTTTTAAAATTTTAAAAAATAAAATTTTAAACTATATGCTTTGATATTAACTATTACAGCAAGCCATAAATAGACAACATTATTCCTATAATATAACAATAATAATAATAATGAAGGATGCTTTAATAAAATCCCTTTACATAGGTATTGTTGGCTTATTTTGCATTTCACAACTTTGAGAAGCAGACATTGCTTCACACAGTTTGCGCAAATAGTTGAGAACCGTCTTTAGCAGCTATACGTTAAAAAAGTTAACTACTATTATAAGTTCTCTTATACGAGTAGTGCAAATATCCCTTGCGTATTTCGCTCTTCTCTAACGAGAGATTTTTCAAACTACTTTCCGATCGTAACGAGCACTTAATACGCAAGAACGAGAAATTTAATCAAGGTCATCGAGTTTCATCTTTTTGATTGATGTTCTTCGACGTGCGTTTGCATACTTATGCGAGAATCGGCCCGTGGACGGATATTAGTACGGGTGCAATCGGCGTGTCACAATTGACATCACGTCTGTTGTACGTTTACATCTGTTCAAAAGACTATGAATAGGAGCATTCACAGATCGCGACCCGTGAGAATATTAAGGCAGGAGACGCGCGCCGATCATCGCGAATCACGATTGACCTTCGCGAGAACGATCGTGACGGCGGAATCGGCGTCGAACCGACTTGCGATTCAGTGGACAGATATAGATTTAGAGGATCTAGAGGCCCTCGCAGGCCTCGCAGCGTTCACCCCTTTTTCTCAGAATCCGGGAAAGATGATGTAGAGAAACACCAGCCGTGTCTGCGCCGTTTGCGCCATCGCTTATTCATCGCACGTTTATCGATGACGAGAGCCCTTCCTTCGTCCATAAATCGTGATATTATAAGCCGAAGTTGTCTTGAATGTAACTCAGCTGCAAAAGTACGAGCGGATTAGGTGGATTACTGTTGTTGGAGAAATCCATTTAGAGCCGAACAAGAGAGAAATCCAAGACGGGAAGCCTATTCAGCACTCAATATTAATTTTCTTAGCTTTGTTAATTTTTTGCGAAATTTTAGAATTGCTTATTGCTGCAAGTTTTTAAATCTTGCTTCGTTTTTTGAATTTGGTATTTATTGTTTTTTTATATCCAATAATTGGTAAACTAAGAAAATGATAATCTCCCTTTTCAAAATAATCTTATTACACACGGAAGAGTTTATTTTAGAAATGCATATTTTATATATTTTAAATAATTTATAATTAAATTTTGATGATCCATCAATTATTTTTAAGTATAATTATGTTTCGTATGTACGATTATATGAAACGACTAAAGAGCATGACTCGGAGAGGCACGATTCTAAGTCTGTTAACTAGGACAACAGAATGTTAAGAAAAGCAGAATCCTTAAACAGAATCCTGCTGAACTTTTGTGATTGTGTAGTTCGATTATTTAGACTGTTACTCTCCTCTTTCTCTTTCACACTTTACACTTTATAATAATTTCTTTAGTATTAAAACTTTCCTTCCAAGATAGCCATGTTTCCTACAAAACTTAAAAGATCAAGCAATTGTCTTTTTAACAAGATATTTCGGTCGAATACGTCACGTGAATAAATAATAAAAATTCTCTCAACAATAACATAAAAATAAAATCGTATAATACATTTCTTATTTTAATAAGACAGTTTATTAATATATATAATGTAAATAATTAATATATATAATGTAAATAATATTATATAATGTTTACATAAAATGTTCAAGATATTATAAACGATATGCATCGTGCTGTTCGGCTAATTTGAAGGTAAGTAAAACGTTGGTTGACGTTGCGAAGTTTTGTGCTTGCCTTTGACACCAGTCTTGTAATTTGGCTCCAACAGATAAGAATTAGCATAACGTGTATTCGCATTTGACCAAGATTTAACAGAAATCTTGGATGTGCCATAAAGAGGACGTCCCGATGTCGCAGGTGTTTCATAAGGAGGTTGCTTAGAGGAATCCAAATTATGATCACGATGAATAGGAGTGATGTATTTGTTCCATTCTTGTCGTTCATTCTGCCAGTTCTTATTCCAAGATTTATTCTCAACGTTAGATTCACGATGATAACCTCGAGATAGTTTTTCTTCAGCTATGCGTCTTTATTGTAAAAGAATTAATAACGATTAGTGGTATTATACACATATATATATATATATATATATATATATATATATATATATAAAATAACATAACAATAATATAAAATTTGGAGAAATACACGAATGCAAATTAAACACGAGGCATATAAAAATTATATATTACATAAATGTTCAAAATAAACTTCATTGCTGTACACTGCTGGAGAACATAAAATTATTAATACATCTGCGTAAAATTTACATCAGCGATAGATCAATACGATATTTTATCTATCGATATGTTACATGCATCGGGTCTTTGAAGACCACTGCTTAATCTCAACGGTGAAAACTGAAAGCGGAGGAGTCCGAGTTTGATTGCTTTCCTGTGCGAATGAAAGTAGCGTACCTATTATAATTAATGTGATGCGTAACTTATTTATCGCTTCATTTTATTATGAGATAATTCAGCGGGAACATTAAAAGACATGTTGCCGCAACATTTTTCTTCTTCTTTTTCGTGCTTGAACCGCGGGAGATAAGGAGATGTCCGATTATGCAATCAAACGCGAATGCTGTGCGGATACAGAATGTATTTTGAACAATTCGTTATGTAATGCGTGCTCACCTATCAGCTTCCTCCATTGCTTTTGCAATCGCCTCGTTAATGGAGTAGAAACTTTGCGCGCGAGAGCAATCCACGGTGTACCACCACGTGCAAACCAGTCTCTCCTGATTGAATAACGTGCCGTTCGGACAAAGAAACGAGTCCTTACGGCCGTCGCGTTGGCAGATGTGATATGCTTGGCAGTCGGCCTCAGGGTCGACATAATAGCCCGGATATTTCCAATCGCACACGAATCGCGTCCATGGAACTTGGCGGAAGATCGGATAATCTTTTCCGGCTACGCCGGGAATTCCGCCTTCATCCGACCACTGATCGTACGGATTCTCGTAGTTGTATCCTCGATTGTAAGACAATTGTTTGATGGGACGCACATATGAATATCCCTCGTGCGCCTATAAATATATTTAACTACAACTTTTATGTTTTCATAAAATTAATGTCAAAAGTAGATTTTTCAATCCATTCTTAATTTCTAATTTCTTTAAAAAAAATGGAAAAAACTTTGAAAAAAAATGTTTGCTTAAAAGGAATATCGAGATACTAATATCTTTAAAATATAAGTCAACAAGATTAGTTAATTTTTCTTTTTTCTTTTTAATTTGACTTCGAAAGCGTTAAAGATAAGCAATGAAACCTCAGTCTCGCTTAGTTCCGAATGAAAATTCTGTTTTAATGAAGTTGTAATTCTTTAAGCGTAACTATCAAATTATTTTACATTAATGATGGAGCTTTCTTGTAGAGTTTTTAACGTTCTTTTTCTTCGAAAAAATTTAATACGTACTACACAATTTGCGAGAGTGAATATTAGAACGAATCCTAACTTGAGTATCATAGTCAGATCTGATTTGGTAGCTTCAGCCAACAAAGTCACTTTAAATTATATTGAATCAAAGAATATGAATTCTGGCTTTATATACTTCTCAAAATGAGTTCAAGTACACGTGCAAAATTATTTCAAAACCATTCAAAAACAGCGCATCCTTTGATCAAATAGATATGACAGCGAAGGTGATCTGTATTTTGGCAATTAAGGATTCACGTAACAAAACAAGGACCCATCTTCCTCCCAGGTTATGCAATGGCTGACGATACAATTCTTGATTAGCAATCTTCCAGTGTTAAGAATAAAAGATAGTTCTGCCAGCTCAATCATTCGCGATGATTAATACTACCGCGTCATTACGATCTACATTGTCAAGTAATATCTTCATAACTTCATATCATTGTTTCATGTAACTTCACGGTCAGTTTTCTCCCATACCTCCTTCTAATTGAATTTAATTTTCGCACGTAGGTTTATTTTATAATTATGCTTTTTTTAAGGAAATTCCCATATATCGAACATATTTCTTAAACTATCACGAAAACTGAATCGCGCGCGTTTAGTCGGCGCATGAATCTTCGTGAGTCAACAATATGGCGGATGTCCTCCAGCTGTTCAGTCATCTGTATACAACGAGTTTATATGTAGCTTCATAATAATAAAAAATTATCACATACAATAGTTCATTCAACGATTTCTTCATTAGTTGTGATCGTGTGCCAAGATTGCTTATTCGAAGTAATCATTAGCGAGTATCAGTTGCTTCGATATTCTTAGAAAGATACCTATGATGCAGTAAATGTTTAACACGTGTAGCATCCTTTCAAGATTCATAAAATATCGAATTTATTCCACATTTTAATATAAACAATTTCTCATAACATTGACTTCTTTATTTATTGCTCACTTCTCTTTTATTCATCGTACTTGTTTTAGTCAATATCCATTTATATTATTTGTATAATTGCTAAATTTTGGGAAAATGGATTTTAAGTTAAGTGACGGATTTTTTGATTTGTGTATAAATATACCGGACAAGCGTGTGGAAAGTTTAGACGGCATTTTATTAAAGTTATATGAAAGTAAGTTAACTGTGAGAGTAAATAATAGAACAAATTAAGCATTTTCATTATTCTATATGAATTTATTTGGTATTAGTGGGTTATAGAACAATTGCATTAAACCATATATTAAATGAGAATGACATAGATAGTAAGAAAAAGAAGGAAGGTGAAAAGACTAAAGTGGTGTCAAACGTGGTGCCAAATCCAATTGATATATCTAAGCTAAATGAAAAATGGAAGGGAAAACTGCGCATACTTAATAGGATAACATTTATTTGTTCGGATTCAACAAAAGCACACACATTGGTGCAGTTTTATATCAATATAAAATTTATATTTAAGCCATTTATTTTGAAACTTAATGTAACCCAAATTTTGAAACAATTAAGTAAGATTTTGATATGTTACAGCGTATTTCTATGAAATATCTATTTGAAACAAATGTTACTAAGTTCGAGTTACATGATTTTTCAAAATAAAAGGTTTATCTATATTGGAATAATGATATTACATTGAGGATAGTTTTGTCATTACAGGCACTGGCACCAAATTTGAAAAAATATGATATATATGCTATTGTCCCAACTAATCAGAATATATTAGAGGTTGGTATACATATGGTGCACACATTTATTTTTTTATATTATTTTAATTTCTAATATTTTTAATTTCTGTATTCTTTATTCTCTTATTTTTTTTTAGTTTGCCTGTTCACAAATAAAAGCAGATCTAATTACAATAAAACCAGAAATTTCTGGTATAAAGATAAATCGAAAAGTATATCGTCAAGCTATAGCCAGAGGCTTGTGTTTTGAAACACAGTATGTAGATCTTTTGAAACAAGAAACACGTATAGCAGCTCTTCATTCTTCTTATAAACTACATATGTATCGTGGAAATGTGGTAAATGTATATTAGATATTATATATTAGATATAAGTTTTATATTTTTGTTATAAATTAATTCTACTGATCATGATTGTGGTAAATGATGTAATCTTAAATATATTTATTTCATTAATCTGTTAATACATCCTATCTGTTGTAGAATGTAATCATATCCAGTGGTGCAAACAGCAAGAATTTAATTAGAAGTCCTTATGATATTATAAATCTGTATCCTTTTTTATTTAAAATGTAATAATAGTAATATGTAAACTAGTGATAAAGATACACTTTTAAAAAGCATTATTTATATAACTTATCGTGATGTATAGTGGATTTATATTAGGTTTGAATCGAGACAGAATAAAACCAGCTATATTAGATGAATGTCAACTTGTTCTTTTAAGAGCAAGTAAGTCTTTATAATTATTATCCGCATTTTATATGAGAGCAAATAAAAAGTTTTATCATTTTATTTATTTTAGGAAGACGAATATCTGGCAAATCAGTGTTTACAATAGAATTTGCGGGAGAATCAAAGATTGATGATGATGATAATGATGATGATGATGATGATGATGAGGAAGACAGTGAGAAAGAAACAACAAAAGACTAAGTGATTTAATTACGTATAAAGTTTAACTTTATAACTTATTTTACAAAGAGAATTCTATTTTATATTTTTATATATGAAAATATATTATTTTATAAAAAAATAAAAATTATTATATTTATATAAATTTATATAAAATATAATAAAATATATATTTTCAAATTTCTTAAGAAACTAGTAATAACAATTACACATTGCATTTATTCAGTTTCTAGTTTGTAGAATAGTATAAAATTTATCTGGAAGAGCCATCTATTAGATTCTTCTGTACTCTTTTGTGATATATTATACATGCATGCTTATTCTGTTGTTCATAATGATAATAAAACATTACAATATTAATATTATATTCTGATCTACATTATAAATTCTATTTTTTTAATAATAAAAATTATTTTGATCATATATGACATTTACATATGTACATATGTCATCTTATGATGTTATTATCGAGGATCGATACTGTTATAAATTAATCTAAAAAAGCAGCTAAACACATTAATTGTTCATTTATTTAAAAGAATCATAAAATAAAAGTAATAACTTTTTGTAAATACAAAAATTCTCAATAAGAAATTAAATGAGTTTCAACAGCTGATACATTGGCTACCTTCATCCTGATTAGATAAACGACTATCACTATGAGTTCAAAAAAAATATATATATAAGGATTTTTTAAATAACGTTATCTTAACTTTATTACATTTAATGTGATGCATTTGGGTTGCAATATATAGTATCACAACGGCGTTATGGCCTCAGTCAAGTAAATAATTACTTTCCTATAAAGTTAAATATATTAAAATACAAATGCGAAGTTAATATAATGAAGCGATGCAATTTGACGTGTGAATGTAAAAGACGTAACCAATTGAATCTAAGTTTGAACAATTTGCGATATGAAATATCTCTGATAATAATATTGCGATATCGATAACATGACAATGATAGATTCTATCTGTCTAATAGAAGCTGTTAACGTCGACTTGAAGACGGCATAAGATTTAGTTTTGATCCAGAAATTAGACGGATCATGCGTCCGACAGCCGCACGATCAAATCGATTGTCCGTACATCATTCTACATCATCCTCGACTCCAAACCCGTCAACAACCTCGTCCATTTATCATCAACAACAACAGCAACAACAAATTCTATATGCTCCTGTTAGTAGTCCAGTAGTGACTCTTCAACCTTGTGGAACAGCACTCCATCCTTCGTGTGTTTATCCGAACGTCCAGTCTCACGTTGTTTCACCGAATTCCACCCATTTACATCTCCAAGGTTTGAAAAATAAATTATAGTTTAAATTAATTTTGCAAATTAGCCTCTTCATTTCTTTCTCAATTTTTCTTCTCGATTTTGCTTTATAAAGTCTCTTAATGATGAAACAGCTTTGAAAGTAATACAAAAAATTGTAAATCTTAATAATTACAATTACAATTGTAAATCTGCAAACTTTTATACAAACTGGAAAATAAACAGTTAAAATATTCCGCGCGAATGCAGGTAAAAGTAATCGATGGCACGCCAAGAACAAGCCATTTTCCAGTCAGCAATATTATCAACAGCAGCACACACAGCAACAGCAACTTTCCTACGGTCCAAAGCCCGTGGTGTTCTTCGATCAACCGTCTACGAGCCTTGCATCGATTCCTCCGTCGACCACATCCTTCTTAGTAGCTTCTTCCACATTCACTCACGCTGGACCGTTGCACAGCGAGCATTACGATAATAATTCTGGAATGACACATCTGTTACCACAACCCTTTAACTTCAAGCCACCGGACATGCAAACCTTCTGCCTCATCCAAGATCGACCAAACATCCAGCAACAGCAACAACAGCAGCAACAGCAGCATCCGATGCAGGCTTCCTATTACAATATCTCGGCCACAAACACCTGCAGTCTACAAACTGTTAATACCAACTCATCTTTCCCACTTGCCAGTCTCAATCCTTATGCCAGCTTAACTAGCTTCACCAACAATCAGTTCCCAGCGACAACGCAATCCACTCCGGTCTTCTCGAATCCGCCTGTTGGGCTGGTCCTCGCACCATCGCGACGAGATAAATCTTCTCCAACATTGGATCTCGCACTGTTCAAGCATAATGCTGACAAGATATCGAGCACTTGTGAGCCTCGAGTTGTTCCGGTCAGTCAGAGTGAGAACTCCAACGACTGGTCATCCCAGATCGAGACGTTCTCCAAGAACGACACGCAAAACTCTGCAGAAAATAACAGGAGCGTCGAATCTGGTGAGTGCGCTTTGCAGAAATCTCTCTCCGTCGTGGCAAAAACAGATGAGGAGCATTACTCCGACGAGTCCTCAATTAGTTTCGATTTTACCATCGAGGCCGAAAAGATGGTCTCCGCTTTATGCAACACTACTTCCTCAAACGATTTGGGTAAGGAAGAGTCAAAGCCTGGTAACAAGACTGATCCAACAACGTTGTTCAACGGCGCGGGCGATAATGTATCCAATAAGACAAATTGGTTTGCCGATTTTTGTGCCGAATATGAGAACGGAACGTCGATCGGCGTTCAAACGGATAGTCCACGCGTTGACACGTCGCAGTATCCAGAATTAATCCGAAAGACAGCTTATTGGGGATGCACGGAGGCTGAGATCATCCTCGGTTCCGACGATTCAAAAACGAATTCCAAACGGAATTGGTTAACATGTCTGTCGTCTGCCACGAGAACAGCGATTACAAAGTCCTCGACCTGCATTCCCGTCTTTGCAGGGGACCGAATCTTCGCTGACGATCTTATAAACGCTCTTCTGCGCATTAGCAACGGTTGGCTGAGCCTCGACAATTACTTAAACAAACAGCACTTTCCCAATTTGTTGGATAGATTGGATTCCGGATTAATTACGCGCTTTCACTCGTGGGAGGAGAGCACGTACGAATTGCTAAAGCAAATGGTGCGAACTTTTCAAAAGTTTGGAGAAAACAACAAAGTAACAGATCAAAAACGTAATGTAACTTGTTGTGAATCATCATCGTTTCCAGGCGACGTGTCGCTTTACACTACCTATGATCTTTTTGCTCCGTTACCATCGAATTCTCTTTCTCAGCAAAATATAATCGGAAATTATTCGCAGAAGAAATCGCAAAGTTCAATGTCTGCATCACTGCCAACGAGCAGTCTGTGTAATTTTCAGTATAACTCCAATCAGCAGGAGCAGCAGTCAACAAATCCAAAGGAAAGTAAATTACGGAGCAAGTGGACGATTACCGAAAATCTATCATCTATGATTAGCGCTACAAAATCCGTGCCGAATGTTACTGTGTGTCATACCGACATCGGCGGTTTAACAAGTCATAAACTTCGTACGAAAGACACATTGTCATTCAGAAAGTTAGATGCTACTCAGAAGTCGCTGAACGCTGAATTCTGCCAGCTAAGAAACAAAGTGATGGAAAGTTGCACAGACGCAACGAAAGATAGAAAATATGGTTACACACCGGGAAATAAACTTACGACATCTCTCGATAACACCGAGTCCATCCGATTGCAGCATCCAGCAATGAATGCCCCTTTGAGTTACAGCGGACTGTACGCGCGGAATTGTTTATCCTTCACGTTTCCTTTATCAAATCATCCCGATTCTTTATACTCCGCATCCAATCCAGGAATCTCAACGTATAGCGGAATCAATTATTCTTCTTCAACGCTTTATCCCAGTAGCGATATCAATTCAAGAAGTAGCAGGAACTCTGAACAAATTCACGGAAGTAAAAGCGTAAATGTCAATCCAGTTTATGTTAGCAGATCGCAGACTGATCAGTTAGAACTCCCGGCTGTACCTAGAAACAAGATGACCCTGCTCAGCCAGATCGAGCCGCGGACGTTCGACAAGGAATCTGAAGAAATGGCGGCCAACTTGTCAGCCTGGTTCGCTAGCATGCGAAGCATGCAGCCTTCGGCGACCGCGTCGGCCTTGGAGGGATCAACAAGGATGAATGGGCATTCGACTCCTCGGCTGTTCGTTCACGAGATGCCCAAGTATTCGATGGTTATATCCAAGCAACCGCAGATCGATGCTAATCGGCAGTTCCAGGCGTTGCAGAATCTGCCAAATATTCAGAGTACACCATGGGCCGCCAGCAGTTTCATCGGCAATCGTTTTCACGTGCAACAAGCGCCCGAAGAGTACGACAGTTCCGAGGATGTACGGGTGTACATGAAACCGGGCAGCTACAATGTACCGAAGAAGAGGCATCAGAGAAGATCGAATCGTCGATCGGAGAACAACGCAACGTCTCGCAGCGGACACGCGAGCAGTCATCAGCACAACGGATACGGTAATAAGGGAAAGAGTATACCCATACCAGCATCGTCAACGCCTCTGTCTCATACGAACGTGTCGGCCCTGTCCACCAACGTCGTTAACGCCACGCTGATAAAGACCTCGTTCCCGTCAGCCTCGCAGCTGCCTGCGCCTCTGTTCAACCTCGAAAGCTCACCCAGGATCTTGAAGCGTACGGAATCTCTGTCGCAAGACTCTCGTCGGGATGTCACCTGGAAAGCAGCGTGCGCCTCGGCCGAGATACTTCTCGAGGCTCTTAACGTAAAGGATTGTAACAGTACATTTAAAAATGTCGAAGGTAACGATAGTAGCGAGAGGCAAGATAAGAACGAAGAAAATATTACGACGTTAACGTCGCAGCACAGCGATTCAAAATCGATGAAGCATGATAACGTCAATTGTACATCTTCCTACGAAGCCTCGGAGGATGATACGGGATCCACATGTAAATTTTCGCCTACAGCAAGCGTAATATCAGTATTCCAACCACGCGACGATGAGAATGGTAAAGGATTTTGTAGAATATA